CAGTCTCAGCTTCTTGATAATGAGCTAAATTCTTAATATCCATATTATAACGTTATTAAATACATAAAGTCGTTTATTAATAATAAAAGAAATGAAATAATACAATGATATGAAACAATAATAAATGTAAATGAAACACGACATCTATTTAATAAAGTGTTTCATTTAAATGTTTTTTCTGCAGATGAATATTTTGATACGATACTGCGTTTTTTGTTAAGTGTTTCATCTTCGTGATCATTGTATGCATTTAACGAAGTTTTTTTTGTAATTACGTCCCCTTCTAAGAAGTCGAATATGAACGTCACTTTCATTGCCGAGAATCCATTTACGTTCATTTACCTATTTGTGATAGCTCTCACCGGACAACCAGTTCCAATGGAATATGCCAATTATTCAAATATGCCAAATTTCATCGAAATCCGTTCACCCGTTTAGGCTACAAACTCTAACAAACATCCATCCATCTAAACTTTCGCATTTATAATATTAGTATGATGGAAAACGTTTTCTTTTTATTTACTTAAGTGCAACAGATAAGTAAATTGTGTGTCTAAAAATATTATTATCAAAGTCTAAATTACAGCTGCTATTTAAAAAAAATAAGTGAAAACACAAGAGTACTGGCCAATTCCGGGAAAAATTCCTAGTGTATTAATTAACAAATTACTCCGGAGGTTTTTTTAGAAGAGTAGGAGAAAAGGGTTTCCACGAATTTTTTTCTCCTAGACAAGTCGACTACAATTTTTGTAATCGTGTAAACCATGGATTAATTATGTTCAGTAATATTTAATTATTATTAAAATCAAATCGGATATTTGTGTACTTTAGATTATTAATAACCATTCATTATAATGCAAGTACATTTTTAGTATTCGTACGCACAGGAAGAAAGACCGGCTTTCAACTTCCTCGTCACGAGAGTAACGCTTATTATTAGGTTTATTAACTACAGCTATCGGAAATGAATTAACATATAAAGACAAGAGAAAGCTACATTAATATATGTGTACTTAAATATGTAATTATATTTCACAAGTACATTATCCCAATATCCAATCTTAAATAATCCAATCTTTAATAGTAAAAGGATGAAAGGAGACTACATGTGGCAGAAATGAGAATGTTAAGATGGATGTGTGGGGTAACACGAATGAATAAGATACGAAATGAGTATGATATTTTAGAGAAGGTAAGAAGTGAAAGGTTAGCATGGCATGGGCATGTTATGAGGAGAACGTTTATTATGAGTGTGGAAGGGTACACCGGTAGAGGTATACCTAGAAAGAGATGGATGGATTGCCTAAAATGTGACATGATCAAAAAGGAAGTGATGACTGAGATGACATATTATCGAGTTATTTGGAGGACAAAAACCTGTTGTGCCGACTTCACGGGAGTAGGATGATGAGGATGATGACGATACTGACATTATCCCAAACTTCGTGATAAAAAAAGCATTTTCAGGTTGAATTTATAAAGTATTTGATGTGAATAAACATGTAAAAGTAATTCAATTCAAGCATTGAATAAATGAAAATTGTATTACCATTCAAAAACCTTTGAGTTCCCGCCGCTCGTTTGCCCCCTTCTCTTATAAAAAAATAAAAAAAAGTAGTAACTAAAAAGTTTAAGTTGTAAATCCCCAGAATTGGAGCTATTTTCCTATGCTACCTAAACTGATCTCTAAATTCTAAACAGCGTTTTATGAAGTCGGATTGCTGTACAAATGTACTATTTTAATAAAAGACTGCAGTTGGCCCTTTGTTGCAGTTGATTTGTAGACGAGCACGCCAGGTAAACATGCGGTTCCTATTTAATGGCAGATAGACCCACCATTGTACCCCGTACTAACCACTAATGGTGTTCGGTTTCCGATTGTGTGAGATTTATTTCTATAATAGAAATCCGCACAGATTGCCCTCAGTTATAGCTTATCTTGAAACCGACCTTATATAAACTGAATAGAAATACTTTAAACACGGGTTTAAACGATAGGGGTACCTTGATTTTTTTTTATATTGATTATATTTTATGGTGTCATGTCTAATCTGCTTTTAAAAAATCCGCACTGGGAAAACGGTTGATGTATTTAAGCTAAAATGCATTGGAAACATCATGATCTATTTATCTATAATTTGTTATGACAAGGACCTTTATGTTGACTTTATGCACAAAGGTTAACATAGAGTTATCTAAAATTCACTGTATTATTCGTTTCGTATACATTTTTATAGTCATAGTTTTACCTAATTGTCATTTAAAGCAGTAAAATCGCAAAGAAAAGTATGTTTTACAGTATTAAAATACGATTTCCGTCATGAACACGAGGAAAAACTACGTTCATGTCAGTTCTAATTGATTACAATCTGACAGCGAGGCTAAGCTTTCAGAATTAACTGTCATTAACACCATGGAGGGGCAATTATTCGTTATCTGTGATCATAAACGAGCACCTGTTAATTAAGTGCTTACTTTTGTACAAGATCGCGGAATTAATTCGACAGAAGTAGTTTAAACAGTTCTTTCATTACCGCATAGTGGAGGACGTTTATTTCCAACCCATAGGAGTAATGTCTCTTGAACTTGTAGTATGAGTGCGAAATTACAGCTGTTTTTGCTGTGTGATATTCCATTCTAAGTGGTAACAGAATTTGATTCCTTGACTTGTAAACATTACGGTATGTAGTTAATGAATAATTTAACGATGAATAGAATCATTTAGCTTCGCCAAAAATACGTTCGTATTTCTCTAACCAGGTTAGCGAATAATAGTTACTAAGTGGAATAGCAATTAGGATTGTCTATTGTGAATTCGGTATTCTTTTTACAACGAAAAGAAACGTACGTTTTTATTGCTTAAGCTTGTACAATATTTCTATATCACTTTTTGAAATAGTATGATAACTTCTACAATATTATAAAGGTGATTAAATACAAGACAATTTTGGATAACACTTTTATACAGACGAATACATAAGAAGAACGAGAGAAACAGAGTGTAATTTCAATAGAGATACATTACTATGTTTTGAAAGATTAAAATGCATATTTTCGTTGTATTCAAGATGACATCATCGTCATTATCACCAGCTCACTATATGTCCCTACTGAGGACCTCGGAGCCTACCCTAAGTTAGAGAGGACTGGATCATAGTCAACCAGGCTGGTCCAACGCGGATTAACTTTACACATATCTTTGTATTTCCTTTGTCGATATGTACAGGTTACATCACCCATCATTATCATCTACAAGCAATTAAAATAAGTGAATAAAATCTGTAGCTAATTTTATAATGTTTGTTTACAGTAAAAGCGAATCAAATTTATTATAGACGTATTGTTATGCAAATAAATATACGGTCTCTTGATACGCACCCAAAAATACCGACGCGTGCGCAGACAATAACGATTATTCATACTAATAGCGCTAATTTATTTGCCACTGTGGAATTTTAATATATTCCTGTAAAACTAACTGGACTATGTTTTTGGCACACAAAATGCGAAGGACATTTTTTCATTAATTACGGTAAATAAACATTAACAACAAGTAAAAAGACTTAACACAATAATACAAAAATCTTGGATAGATATGCTAACATAGCTTCACCTATTTAACTTAAATTGTCACGACTAGAGGTCAATTTTAATAAAAATGCCACTATTTTTATACGGTCTGTAATTTTAATGAGCATTCTTCACCGTATCATTTCACAGAAAAGCTCTATATTAAAATAGAAATCCTTGTAAAAACATTACAAAAGTCACAAGTAGTTGTTAAATTCTAAGTTAACTATCGCAGAACGTGTGCGATTGTCGATTGTATCGCCCACTCAACTGTTTAGTTGCACAACTAAAAATCGACTCGTGTGCCCACCTTATAGGCTCATAGAATTGAAAGCGCGACTAAACAGTTATGCGATAATGTAGTTAAAGGTGGGTGTGCGCTCTAAGGCAGTAACATTTACATGTACGGTTCATGAACTTAATAATCCGGAAAGCTTACTGTCAACAAGTCGTTGAATAAATCGTTTAGAAATACATATATCATATTAAGTTAAAACCCAGATAGTGTTTGAATAATCTCTCGTATTCATCACAGTCGAGACATTTGAATTCTCTTTTTGTGTCGACTAATAAATGTAACTAATCAATAACCCGCGAATAAACACTGCATAACTGTTTACGGTGATTATTTTGGTTAAACGCTAACAGGTTATTCACCTCTGTTACTCATCTCTAAGCTCTAAGCATCAGTTAAGTAAAGTAGCTGAGCTTATCTGATACTAAGAATACTTAGTATATATTTTTTCTATTTTGTCTGTACTAATATTATGACGAGGAAAAATTTGTATTTTTGTATGTATTTTCAAAAATTCTTGCACCATAAAAAGCCATGTTATCACTGAGTAACGTATGCTATGATTTTCTTATTTTTTTAACTCGACGTGGGCAAAATCGCGAGCAACAGCTAATGTCATATAAACTTATGTATATTTTTATTTCTTTTATAGAAGTAAAATTTTTGTCCTCACGTATCTAACTAGTTTGTGACCTGCTCATAAATAAACATTTACTATTGTTAAAATAAAGTTATTTTATACTCGAAGAAAAATTATCTAAACACGATTACTTAAGAAAATCTGATTTATTGTCGGCTTCCCAACTACATTTAACTCTTTGTTTGTGATTTTGGTTCGATAAGTTCATAAAATGCGTTTCCAAACTACGTAACTTGAGTTTGAAATTGACATTTCAGAAAACCAGTATGCCAGTATTACTCCTCAGTTCGAAAATAAAACTATTAATTTTTACATTACTTTAGACTTATCAAATGTGATATTGTCTTAATGATAAGCTTTAGTTTCCCCAGTTTCTGATAAAACAATTAGTATTGAACAACTAGTCGCTTTTTCCCAGCACTATGCGGATAGTAGGAAAGCCTCGTGTGGTATTTCCTGTCACAACTGAACACTAACGGCAACGTTTTTTTACAGGTGCATTGTAGAACCAGTCCATAGTCCGAGCTGTTTCAGCCACCGTTATTAAATTAAGATGTAAGTGGAATTTCATTATTTTTTTAATATTTTTTCTTAATTAATTAACCTTCATTGTATTTTATCATAATGTAGCAAGAGCTTTGTTTGGCAGTACGTTTCTACATCTAACCTGTATATGCCGTTGAAACAATCTGACATTATACTAGCTTTGAATATGCGAAAGTTTAGATGGACGGATGTATTTTTGTTAGAGTTTGTAGCCTAAACGGCTGAACTGATCTCGATGAAATTTGGCACAGATATAGATAGTTTGGAAGAACACATAGGCTTTCGTTTTTTTAAATTCCACGCGGACGGAGTCGCGGGCAAAAGCTAGTGTTAAAATAAGTTTGACCTGTGCGGAATTCAATATAGAAAATATCACCTTTTGAACTCAAATTTAATAAAGCATGTTTATTATTTCTATAAGTATTATTTTATTAGTAAAGCCGAAAACTGAAGATTATTTATTGGCTATATGTTCCTTTATTTATTACATATGCCTCTTATACATAACTGTGTAGTATAATATAATAATTTACATAATATTATATCTAAAATATTTAAAATCAATTCACCAAATTATTATTTTTTCCGATGAACGAAATATTTACATAGTAATCGGTTGGATTTAATACTAACTCAACGTGTATTTGCAAATAAATCTAGCCTTTCTCATGTTAGTGTTTGAATATCAATTGAATTTTCTATTCCTGTATTTATTGATAATTGTAAGTCTCAGGTCAGCGGCGATCGGAGTCACATATCTAGTGCGTACATGTTCAACGACATATCTATTACTATCTATCAATTTGCAACATAATTAGTTAGGATTCCTTAACAGAGTGGTGGTTATGCAACCAGTGATGCGTGTGATTTAGGTTAGAATATGATGCATTCTGTTTGTAGTTTTGTTGGTTAATTTTGTATTTTATTGGTGATTTTGAAGTATAAGTGTGGAGGTACACCGGTATAGATAAATCTAGAAAGAAATGAATGCATTGCGTTAAAAGTGACATTATCAACGAAGTGATGACTAAGATGGCGGATGATAGAGTTACTTGGAGGACGAAAACTTGATGTGCCGACCCTACGGGAGTATGATAAGATAGGGGAATTGTGATTGTATTTACTGGTATATTTTTTTTTTATCCAAATAAGTATCTGCTTTTATAGTAAAATATCTCTGGACACTTATATTAAATAGTCACTATTGCTTGAGACTTCGTCGTTTACGTGAAACTAATGAATATTAAAACATAGCCTCTATATTTATAGATTACCTTTTTAATAGCGTAAGAATTTTTTAAATAAGCTTTATAGTTTTTACGTGAACCAAATACATACAAAAATATAAGTGTTTCCTCATTATAATGTTAGTATAGAACAAATTGGGAACATTATTTAAGTCACTTTTGCATTCCTTTCACATTAATTAGTGATATAATATAAAAATCTATTATACAACAGTGATTTTAATTCACGTAAGAATGCTTTGACCGAAATCCATACATTATCTAAAATAATCAATAAATCTAAATTAATCAGAATACTAATCTCTATTTGTTTGTTTTTAACATGCTGTAATTTAATTAAGTTACACACCTAAATATATACGTATAATAAAATTGGAGTGTCTGTTCGTATGTCCGAAATTTTGGTATCATAAGAAAAATTCGAAATTTCGGAAAGGTGATGTATTTGCCATATGATGTATTTGTAGTTGCTGATAACGAAAATTATATTTAAAGTTTTTTGTCTGTCTGTCTGTCTGTCTGTCTGTAGGCAAGTGGTAGTGTCCGCTTTAACATCTTAGCACGAATGGGCCGGCACGCCCGGTGTAATACCACGACCACACAGAAGACAGGCGTGAAATGGAAGCAATTCCGTGTTTCGTCTGATGAGTGTGGTGCCGGAGGCCTAATTTAAGTCCCTTTGTCTTTACCACCCTTTTCTTATAAGGAGAGGATGGGAAGGGGAAGTGGATTTGACGGTGGAGGAGATGCATAGGAAGGGGAAATATCCTCTTTTTGTGCGTCTCCTCTTCCGTCGTATAAGGGTAGGCAACGCATCTGCAATTGCGGACGTCTATGGGCAGCGGTCGCTTCGCCATTTTGGTGGATTCAGGTGACCGCTTGCTAGTTTGCCACCTTATGTTATAAAAAAAAAACCGCGTTTGTTCCGGGTAATCTCTGAAACGGCTGGGCCGATTACGACCGGACTTTCACTGAAGGGAATCTGACATAGACGGGCATATTATAGGCTACTTTTTATCTTAATAGTGCGTGAACGAAGTCGCGGACAACAGCGAGTTTAGTAATAAAAATGACGAATGACAATTATAAATGGTTTTACATTTATTAAAATAAACACGTATAATTTGCACTGCAATCAATTTCAATTATTATAACAAACGCACGGTACAAATGAATAATTGAATACACCATTAGGGCTGCCTCTTCATATTTATCATTACGGTTGTTGCTCTTGTATTATTTATTTTGTACAGCCCTAACTTATCGGCAATAATGCTAATTGCAAGCTATTAGCCAGCAGTAAATTACGTTTATCGTTTTAAATAAAAGAGATAGTTTTAACACTGAACGTAGACTTCCTTAATGTAGAAACAGGTGTTACATACGAAACAATGGAGATTCGTTACCTAATAATTTTACATATGGTTTTCAGTGTCTTCTTCTGTAATAATAAAAACTAAGGCTTCTAGATTGTAATTTTTTTTTGTTACAAACTACAGTACAGTTCATTTTTTTAATAAAGTCGCGAGTGACAAAAAAGTTAAACAAGGTACGTTGATATATAAGGTAATTCATGTAACAAGATATGTTGACACCAAATAAACTGATTAGCACACAATCCATTGACCGCGTGGTATGCGGTCTGCATTTCAATTCATGTGTTAATATCGCGATGGATTATAAACAAGTCAATTGACCGAAAACGAGGCCAGAAACAATTTACCAATAATTGTGCATGATGATTTTTATCGATCTTTTAACGGTATCTAACTTTAGATACAAACATTATTGTTATGGATTTTTTTTAAATAGTCGATTTTTGTCGAAATTCGGACTTTATCGTGAAACATATCCTAGCATTTAGTTAAACTTTAGTTGGAAAGGTTAAAATAAATAAAGTAAATTATTTAACATGCCAATATTTTAGGGTTAAACAACTAAATATTACGTTACTAATATTACAAATGCGAAAGTTTAGATGTATGGATATTTGTTAGAGTTCACTGCCTAAACGGTTGAAGGGATTAGGACTAAATTTGGAAGAAATGAAGAGCATAGAAAGAATACGCGTACTTTTGTTACTTATTTTGTTTTCTTTAAACTCTCGTGGAGTCGCGGGTGAAAGCTAGTAATTTATATTTAGAACAGAATATTTAATAACAAGCTTCTTACCGTCTTTGGCTAACAAGCTTGAATGTATATCTTGCTATATATTCTTAACAATCATGAAATTCCAGAATATTTTTTATGGAAAATCTATCGGCAAGCGCTGCTTGTTAGACTTGTTTAACAAGGCAAACTTCCCACAGGATGTCTAATGCATTATTATAATAGAGGACACAAACGCCATACTGTAAAGGTACAGTCATATTCATTGGAGGTTTATTATTACAATAAATACGGCAATCAATTCGAAATCAATGTCGAAATATTAAACACTATGCAATAGTCAGTACAGAGCAAATAGTTGACATTTAGACTTTCATTTGTTTACAAAAGTGTAGGAATTAAAATTCAGTACATTATGTGGAGCAATTTTTCTGTTACTTGTTAACCGTGAATGAAGGCGACTGTACACATACAACTAAGCACAACTAAAAAGTCTAAACTGTTATTGTCTCCGGCGAAATTTGACCGAACCGCACACTAATGGTTTGGTGGTCAATGGTCAGTCAGAGGGAAAGCCTTCGACTGCATAAATGGATAGTTTGCGGTCGAGAAATATGATGCCTACTTGTTTATGGTATGCCAACTAGAGTACCGCACCGGTCATAGATTTAAACTATTCATTTTTAAACTTTAACTATACGTAAATCTGTTTTTACCGTTAAAATGTATGTGTATTCTTTTTTAAACCTGTTTCTAATTCTACAGTAAAGTCCCTGCAACGCACTTTCTAATAACGCGTTTTTGGTACCCACGTATAACGCGAAAATGACTTCCTATAACGCGGAAATTGACAACAATTTTTAAAAGAACCTTTTAACGAGATCTATGACACTGCTCTGTTATAAAACGTGTAATACGGAGGATTACTATAAAACAGAACCATCAACCGCATTATAGGAGGGTTTACTGTACTCTATTTTGTTTGAATTCTCCAGCGGTCCACGGTTAGTGATAAACATCTGATATTGCTGATATCCATGCGTCTAGGAGCATATCAGTCTTATCGACGATCAATTGTCTCTTATAATAAACTAGCTGTCCCCGTGCGACTTCATCCGCATGAAATTATAAAAAAAATATTTTATTGTTAACATGTGTCAAATTATCAATTGCAAATGTCAAAATGACATGACATGACAAACCTCGGCAATCTTGCTTCCTTGATGTTGGTAGTAACTTATGGTCTCTTGCCCACATTAGGCTTCTTATCCAAAATATTTACCCCTAGGTTTAATGGCGTTAAAATATATAGCCTAAAGCATGACGTAAATGTAAGGCTTTTTATTAAAAACAGAATTATTAAAAAATATGCTTTAACTGCTGACATCTTAGGCAACAAAGAAGTGTGTGTTTACGCTTTATTATAATAGTATAGATAGTATAGATGAAAGAAATTAATATGTATTCTTAATACTATTCTGAAATACCTCATTGTTAATTTATATTACATGTAAATCATGTTAATTTCTAAATAATTATATTCATTGGAAAATGCAATAATCTTTCCTTTGAATTCTAAAACCAGTCTATCAGGCGTTGCCTGAATTATGAGGGAAAGTGTATATCATGCAAAGCTTAGTAAACTGTGATACA